ATGGCGCTGTGTGAATTGTCTTGAGATTTTTATTATTATATGAAATAGGCATATACAATCTGAGGATCCCCTTCATAGATAGTTTATATACCCTAAAATACTCTGAGGACTTGCTGCATGCTGCGTAATTTCTGTACCAATATCTCACTTTTCAAATTAAAACTCAGCTTGGTAATTAACTCTTACTAGGCACCAGAAATAGGCATAGGCGTCGTTGCAAATGATAATGTCAAACATATGCCATATAGATTTTCAGGGGCGGATCGTGAATTTGTGGAACCCTGGACTAAAACTATTTAGGGGCTGACCTAATCCAAACTCAACTAAAAAAATACACGGATCAAAAGCAAGGAACTGGGAATTTCTGGTTCCGTTCGATAGACGCGCGCGTGCATGGGCCTTATGACAGATATGTAATATTTTAGATACTTTTTAATTCTAAATATCGCCTATTAGTTAATTTATTATTTTCTATTTAAGTTGTATTTAAATTTAATAATACTTATTAATTAAATTATCTGCTACATACTTGTTAATTAAAATTACTATTTACGAGTATATAGTAGTAATTAAGTCATTGAGTATTGAAAACTGTTTTCTAATAATCTATGTATTTAAATCATTTTAAACATTCCTATTTATATCTCTAATTCGACACAAATAAAAATGATACAATTATATTCTTATGAATTTTCTATTTATTAATCTGTCATTAAAACTCTCATGTTCAAAAGCCATTCAGAATTGACTTCTATTGTCCGGGTACAACGTCACAGTAAATACCCAGAATTGCAAATATGCATGTGAACCAGAATAATTTCTACAATAGCCAACGATTTAAGTACTTAGGCCTAATGATGGACAATAACTGGCTGTAGATAAATGCCACTATCAACGACTATTCTTCGAAAGACACGTCGTATTATGTATATTCTTTCTGCATGAAGTCATCTTGTTGATTGTAGCGCATGTGCATAGGATGTTTCCGGTTTTGTATTCGCTTTTCTATTTACATTTATTGTTTCTATATTATATAAAGTGTTACCAAATTTCTTCTATTGTATATTATGACAATGATTATGTAGTATTCATGCTTAAGAGCTAAACTATTTTAAAAAATAATTTTACCCCAAAATCACTTCTGTCTACCATTAATTAAATATATAGGTACTAGGCAGTTGTTTATCGACTGATTCTAAATGCTAATTTGCACAAAACGGAATTTTATGTATATATTATTAGGTATTTATTAATATATAAAAAATACAATTTTCTTTAAAAAGAATGCAGATAGTTTGGTTCCACTCTAAATATATAATTTACTACATTAATTAGTACTTATATTTAAAATTTATCTTCCCAGCGGTACTTAAAACTTTAATTTTGTTACAGTATTTTTTACTGAACAGCTGCAGTTTCTAATTAATTACAGTTATGAATAGGATCATACTTAATCACAAAAGTGACTGTTTACATTTACCTCAAGTAACAATTATCTCATATTAATGAAACCGCTAAACATCTTGTCCCATTACCAAGTAAGAGAGAATGAGAAGCTATAAGATAGAACACGGCAACTGGTCACAAACCAAGATATTGTTCTAAATGAAAATGCACGCATGCAGTTTTAACTAAAATGTGTTAAACGGGCATCCTGTGTACACAATGAATGCTACAATAATATTATTGTTTACATGCTTGTTTTCTTTGTCACCTGAAAATGAATCGAGTCGTTGGGTCGAGCGCACGTCAGTAACATGACAGAATCTGTGTAATTCCTTTGCCTGAAAGTGAATTTAAAAGCGAAATGTCATCATTTGTGTCTTTTTCTAATCGGTACAATGTGAGTGAGTAAACAAGATGCCCGGTGGTGGGAACTCAGTAAGGGTCGAGAGGTACAAGAAAAGAGCTCGTACTTCAAGGTCGACGCATGCGCGGTACTACTATACCCGATCTTTGGGTTCAGATCAGCCTAAAAATACTATTAGACACAGGTCAAGGTGAGACTGTGGAAACAACTTTACAATTTGCATGATTTTTAAATTCGTAAAAAACATATTGTAAATATTTTTAATTACTGAATTAATAGATCCAACCGTCATTTTCAATTTTTATTAAATAAAAGAAAATTATTAGCAGATTATGAAAAAATCAAAACATATTTGGAAATTAAATAACATTACAAGATGTAGTGTACTGTACTGTCTTCCTCAAGAATGAAACAATCATATGCCTAATAAACCTAATGTCGACTACTGAACAATGCAGTCCTTATCTTTTGCGTTATTATCTTAATTAAAAGGAAAATAACGAAATACTGTTAGAAGCAAAAAATACTTTTTAGATTTTTCAAATTTTAATGTTTATCAATTATTATGTTTGTCAATATTGGAAATGGAGAGATTATTTCTAATCAATTTTACCTACATAATATATAAAGTACTATACAGTATATAAAATATTCTGTAAGTAAATTGCTTACCTCTAGGTAAGTCCGCCATGTGCTCTTTTATTTTTATATATGTGCATTAAAGTTTTAATAAATAAAAAATGAATAAATTTATATACTTCTATTTGCACTATAATTGAATGTTACATGTATGTTTATTAGCTGTTGTCCTTACTCCTAATAAAACAGACATCGTGTCACCAACAAGGCAATCTACCTCTTACTACAACAAAACAATGACCCGAGGGTCAAATAATTAGGACCTCATCACAGAGTAAAGAGTAGTATCGAGTATAGAACGTACAATGTACGAAAAATGTAAATTTTATAACAGATTTTATAATTCTCTAGTTATTCTATTCTTTAACATTCTGAAAACATTGATTAAAGAAATGATACCAATGGTATAAAATTTTGTTGGTGTACTTGTTAGGCCGAGGTCTAACAATCTGTAACCACTAGATAGAGAAGAACTTTACTAACATTAGATTAGAAAAAAAATCTAATAAACGGGCTATTGATGCCATAATAAACATTTTTATTATTATTAATAATACATAAATGAAGTGTCAGAATAAAACGTATTGAGTTACCTGTGAGCGCTTATTACATTGTTAAAAAAAATAAAGATAATCAAGTTAGAACTGGTTATTATAGGCTTTTAAATCTATGTCTAATATTGATAAAATGTCTGTCTACTTAATTTATAATTGTGAACTTGATTTTGAACTGACTTTTTTGGTCACAGACAGATATATCTTAAAGAACTTAGGCTTGTATAATTCTAAGAATATTATGTTTATATAATTATTTTGCTCGTCCAAGCGTAAATATATAATTAATTAATACATGGTTACAAATATTTAAGCTTACGGGAAAAAATACATGATTATCTTAATCTTTAAATTATTAATCGCAACAAATTCCTTTACCTGTCGGAATGTTTATAAACATTTGGAGTATCAGTGAGGGCTTTAACGATTATTACACGCTAAGGAATTCATGTTTTGTCTTAATTGCGGTGTGCATTAGGTAAACGACATTGGGGTTTGTTTGGAAATATCATACAATGTGGCATGAAATTGTTGCTAAATTGCCTAATATTACTATTACCTTAAATGTAATTAAATTTACATTGTCTGACTGAAACTGATAGACCAAATTGGACACTATATTTTATTAATATTATAAACGCAAACATCCATACTCTTTGTGAGTATGGATGTTTGATGAAACTTTACAGTAATATATAGCTTATACACCAGAATAACTTATAGGCTATAAATTCCACGCTGGTGAAACCACGAGCACAGTTAGAAGTTTAAATAATAATTTCATATTCACATTCAGTTAGTAGTTATATTTCGTTAGTTAGTTATATTCTTACTTCAAGTAATGATTGTTGCCGAATTTAGACTTTAAAAAAATATTTGATAACTATTCTGACAACCCAAGACGGTACAATTAGTAGAAATATTATAAAGACGCAAATTATATGGAAATGTCATAGAATACAACTTATACTATACGTTTATAAATCTTAACAATCTACAACAATATAATAAAGTCACATAGTTGACACATAGAGAACAAACAAAATGATATAATTTAGTAGTTTTCTGGGGTTGTCAGGGACATTGTCTATCTTTTATCTTAAAAATAGTACTCCTAGTAAGACTACGCTTAGTCGTAAAATGTAACACACAGAAAAACATAGTTTTTCATATATAAAAATTAAGCATAAAATAATATTATTGTGCTGTAATTAAATAGTCATTTAAATAAAATGCGACTTCACACAGTTCACACCATACATTTAATTTAGCTGTTCCGGGCATTTCACGATACACTGTCATTCTGTAAAATACAGAGAGTAGAGAACACCATTGACTACAAACGTTACACATATCCTTGACCAAGAACAATAATATAAAAGAAGTAAGAGAAAAGCGACACAGAAAATAACACATTTCCTATATCCAAAGTGAAAACACGGGGAAAAACTTACTTTTTAATGTTATTAATTAACAATTACTATTTTCAATTGAGAAGCACTTACCTGTGTCTTAGATACTTACGTATAATTCAACCACAGCTTTATTTGTTGTATTATTTTTGTCTGACAAATGTCGACCAAACCGAGACTAATTTCATCTTGTGGTTATTTATTTGGAGCAATTGAAAGACGAACTGTCTCTTTTATCTATTAGATGAAGTGGCTAAAAACATTTGCTACTTCCTGGAATGTAATATATATTTTTATGATAAATTATGGAATGGTGTACTCACATACGCTACACACTGAGAGGGCACCAGTGAACGATTATTCGATGGGTGAATATAATAAAACACAAACCAAGTTTTTAAATTTTTGAAGAAATCACGCAACATATATATATAGGCCAATTCATATTTTGTACTAATGAAAATTGTATATTATTTCAACACATAAATTTTATGTATATCCATATATAATATGTTAGTGCTTTAAATTTAAAACAATGTACCTTTAACATAGAATATGAAATAAACGTAATATATATCTTTACAGATGTCAGTCCGCTCCAAGAATAATGGATAGTAACAGTAGATCGGCGTCCCCGCGAGACCCTCCGAGACCCCAGCACCGACCACCGTCCCCGCCTTCGCCAACTGCCTTCGACAACCGCGCTTACCAGCACGACGAGTCAGACCCAAACCACAATGATTCTTTCACTTCTAATGGCCCACAACAAAATGGTCACACCAAGGAACCAAACGGCGACACCAAAACATTGGAAGCGGTGAATCTTGAACTGATAAACTTAACTCCCAAGAATGGAAACGCTAAGAAAAAAGACGTGGAGGTCGATATGAGTACCACAAATCCATATGATGAATATTTCGTTCCGGTCAACGAGCACAGGAAATATATGAGGTATGTTGTTCATTTCCTCATTTTTTATAGCAAACTAAAAAAATATTTTATTGCATATTTAATTAGTGTCGAAATTTGCAAATGCAACAACAACCTAGATTTTAATCAAATTTTTACTATGCATAGCTATGGTAATATTCCATAGGTACCTACTTGCAAATCTCTGGAAATAACTGTTTCCTTATTTTGAATAATGACAAATCTCATTATGTATTGAGCACATACATACATACACTAAAAATTTTCTGTTTTTTTTTATGTAATTGTAAAGGCAAACAAGCTTACGGCCTACCTGATCTCAACCTTCAACCGAAATATATCTTACAAAGCAACCTTAGTTTAGTTAGAAACTAAAGTAGACAACTTTTTACTATCTCAGTAAATTGCATTTATTTCTCAAATATCAACAGCAATTAAATGTAAATAGAAGTACACTGCTCTGAATTATAATGAATCCTCATTACTCGTAATACTTTTTACTATCATAAAGAGTGAATAAATAAATAAATAGAGCTAATAGTGCTTCAATTAATGAATAATAGCGTCTCAATCATTGTAATAGAATACTAGAAGGTGTACGTACCAATATACACTAAAAAGGCCGTCAAAGTGTTACGCTCGTAATCGTTTTCGAATGAACAATTGATGTTTATCTATCGGTATACCGTTTCAGCACCGGTATTCTGTAGTTCTTCCTATCTCGATTTTTTATAGTATCTAAAAAACTGTATGAAGTCGCTCCACCAAAGTGCTCATTCATTCCACTCGATACAAAATGATTGTGATCGTTACATTTGATTCACGTGAGAATCGTGGTCTCTGTGAAATCACTTTGATTAGATGAAATATAAATACTCTACCTTCTCTGATATTTGACTTTTTGTCTTTAAAAGGGACCGATGTTATTGTAGCGCGGTGGTATCACCGCACTACTGTAGTGTTATATATAATGTGATGAGGTCTCGCTACATAATATATTATTTATTGTAGTATGTAGTTAGTATAGCGGTGAAATGATTGTACTATTTATTGTACATTAGTAAATTTATTAAATAGTAAGCTACATATCTTATTAGTAACGCGTACATTCGACGTGATTAAATCTATGTTATGTGGAGAGGTAAGCTACTAATAAAAGGGTCTCAAGTGATAACAAAAATATTACAAGTGTAGGCACACTATGAATTGGGGTTATCAGTTCATAAAATAGAAATATGGTAACATATTAAGGGTATGTCTCAATATAATTTGCAACGTCATGATTCTGTTCATCTTATATATAAAATTCTCGTGTCACAGTTTTCGTTCCATACTCCTCCGAAACGGCTTGACCGATTCTCATGAAATTTTGTGAGCGTATTGAGTAGGTCTGAGAATTGGCCAACATCTATTTTTCATCCCCCTAAATGTCAGGGGTAGTCCAACCCCTATTTTTTTTTTTATTTTAAGGCAAAACAACGTTTGCCGGGACAGCTAGTATATATATATATTTGTTACCACTTTCCATCAGGTTAGCCATCCTCTCATTTGCTATTACTAATTCATAAAAAAAAAGAAGACCTGACATCAAAAAGAAGATATTCTCAAAATTCATGGAGTTTGCTTTTTTTAAATCCAAACTTACCTTATTGTAGGTGTTCTCGTAGCAAGTTTTTAAAGTGCTGGCAGGAAAACGACATTTTCCTTCAAATTACACTAAGTACCTACTTTTAAAAAGATATTGCAAGTCACTGATAAACAATGATACCTATCGAATTACAACATAGATCCAACTATAAAACCATGGATGAATTTAAACAATTCGCTGCAGATCCAGTGATCTAAGCTGTTCTGCTTCAATAATATCTTAATTATTCCCAAATAGAACATTGTCCTTGAGGGCCTTAGCCCCGGCGTGAAATTAGCAAAAATGGTTCTTGTACTTGCAAAATAACCATGACACGTTCTGCTCGATGACACACGAACGAGAAGTGAACCGAAACTGGGCTTTTGTTGTTAAAAGTGCAAAGCCATGTAATTAATGGAAGTCATCAGGCCATATGATGTACTTAAGATTTAACAGTAAACACCTATGTTTAACCTGTGGTGCTTTAACACTGATGGGACTAACACTACTACTATATTTGTACCACACTAGACGTACCCCGTGGTTTCCATTATAAACCTAATATGTAGGACCGTCCAACCGAGGGATGAGTTGTGGTCTACTGAGATACAGACTTCGTGCCTAGTTTTCAGTTCCCAGGCTCATACAATCACAAATTGTATATGAAAATAATTTAAGACCTGGATATGATTGTGGCTTAATAAATTTATAATAATTATAACTTTTTTTGACTTAACTCATTCTATTTTTTCTCTATATGTTCGACTACCAAAGATCGTAGCCTGATGTTTAGTAGTCTGTATTCCTATACCTCAACGAATTGGACTGAGCTAGCTAAATACAAAAAAAGTATATATATAATTCGCCTCGTGATTTCAAAGATTAGCGCGCGTTCAAACTTTTTGGAATTATTCTATTATTAATGTTGATCACAAAGACCACATATATCGTGTACAGAATGGCACATTGTTTTATATTGCATAAAAAGGCTTGCCTTGAGTATTAAATTCTGTTATCAATCTGTTACTAATTCAAAAATTACAATTATTTTGTAATAAAGTCTCACGATACCAACGTTAGCTCTAAAGGTTAGATTTTCGACGTAACCTTCTTGTAAATACCACAATTCTATACTCTGTTCTCAAATAGCTAAAGCTCTCATCATGGTGTACATAATAAACAATTTTGGTATGTCTTATTAAATAATTATGCATAAAATTAACAAATACTTATAGCTAGAATTTCAATTTGAATATCCATTATAATACCTAGTATCTGTTTGTATGGCTAATTTTGATGTAGACATGATCATATTGTTTACTAAATACCTTATGATAAACATTAAAACGTCAAATCTACGTATTTTAGCAATTGATTGTCATTATGATAATTATTCTATTCTTACGACTTATTTTCTTGATTTAAAAGAATCTGTAATAATTAAAACGGGTTTCTTCGTTTTTATTAATATATTAATAAGAATAATTATGAATGGTCGTGATTTCTAATCTGGCATATACAAAAACAGCTTTGTAACTCTCGGAAACATCGAGAAGTAACCAGAAGCTAATCCAGGAGACGGTGATTGGATCAACCACTGTTATTTTACATACCGAGCGAAACGCATGATAAGTCATAATAATTAATGTAAATAATCTTAGACAATTAACACAGTGCCATCTAATCCCACGGTAAGCAGAGCTTGTGTTATCGGAACTAGACAACTGATCTAAATACTTAATTTTTTTTAATACGACCAGTCTGATACAAACAATCATATTCCCAAATACAAATGTTTGCACCGTGCTAGGAATCGGACCCGTGACCATCGGAAGTAAAGCGGTATGCTAAACCGCTAGACCACCGAGTCCGTCGATACAACAGGTAATGCATTCACCGTGAAGTATTTCAATGACTTTATAAGTTGAATATCAACACATATGCCACACATGGCTTAAAATCACTTTCCCAGACGTTTACTTTCTAAGTTATGGCAGCATCATCACATCGTACAAATTTTACGGCTAATTACGATTACTCAATCTAACATATTCGACTCGATTCAATCGATTATATCCGATTAGGCATACTCGTTAGCACGTCACTTACGCAAGCTTCGCTGAATTCCCAGCACTTCAAATACCAAACATTGTTAAACAAGGGACTATTTTTTGCAAATTACTAAGATTGGCAAATAAGCTGACGGACCATATTACGGTACGAACAATAAACCATAGATATCATAGATTAGAATTTGATATTTAACTTATATAGGACTGACAACTTTTAGATTTAGATAATTGCAATAATTATTTCTATTTGCGTACATAAACTAGAATTTAAGCTGATACAAACTGTTATTGAAAGAAAAATGATGGAAAGTGGTAATTCAAAATATTGTAATATAAAGTAGATTAAAGAAAAACTTCGAGTCGTGTCATATCTACATTTAAAGACTATAACGGAAGATCCTAATAAGTGACAAAATCGCGAGTCTTTAATTATAAATGAAAGAAGTATACAATTAACCCTTAATATAACGACCTTCCATATGAAACTGACTGTACCTTCTTAGATTTTCTAAGTCACATTTTGTATACATACATTAAATACAGGAATGATTATTATATAATAATTTGAACTAAACTTGCATAAATTTTGCTATTAGGTACTTATTGATTCCATACTCATCCTTAGAGGCATCTATGGAATGTAGTTTGAAACAAAAATGTAGGATTGTAAGTACATACTTGAATAAATTTGTACATTTGGTGTGTTTACGAGACTCGAATATTTTACTTAGCTACTAACTTTAAAATATCTAATATCCTTTTAATTTACTAACCATCCCCGTGGTGACACACACGTGACATTATAGGCTATGTGTTATTTTAAAGTATAAGCTATATTTCTGTACAGTTAAAATCCATTAAATAGTTTTTCCGTGAAAGAGTAACAAACACGCATCCTTCCAGCCACACTCGCAAACTTCCACATTTATAACATTAGTAACGATTTATTTAAGACTACTTAAGCCCGTAACTTCCTACCAGTATAACATTTGTTTATTTGTAAATCGATTAAAATTAAAGAAATTTTAAGTGAAGCTTACCACATACTTAGTTACCCCAAATAGACCCAGCTGTTCCCGAGATTAGCTTGTTTGAGCAATCGAGTTTGAACTCGCAAACCAATAGACAAGAATTCTATAAATCATTGTTTTCTATTACGTTAATAAATTATCATATATATTCCATATGCAATCAGTTACATTTTTATTGTAATAATATGTGTGCATAGGTAATATTAACAAAATGTCGCGGAACTATGAGACATTAGTAAAAACTTTATAACAACTAATTAGAAGTAGGTACTACTTAACCCAATGTTTCAT